AAGGCCAAATACTTGACACCAGTTTCGATAAGCTTAAGCGGTTGAGTGATCAGATTCGAATTCGAAGTAGCTACTTATTGAATATGAACGGACATTCGCCATAACATGGTCCAATAAGCAAAGTTGAGGCAGCGGATATGTTCTGCGTATGCGCGTGGGTAGTGTTCTCCCATGGAAACACTGTAGGAGCTTTCAGATAATCCCGGGAGAAATCTGGGTCACTGAGGAATTTTCAGCGATACTTCCCGCCCAAACCGTCCTCAGAGATTAAAGGAACCACTCTGAGCTGCCGACACCCTTTATAAACGATCCAATCAGTCAAAGGAATATATTGAGACGAACCACCCCTCCACCCAAAATAAAAGGGTCTTTTTGGAGAATTTTTTGTGATAGCGGAAGTTCTTAAGCAGCACCTGTACAAGGCCACTCAAAAAATGGCCGATATAACGATTTCATTCCAATAATTGGATGAATCCGGACAACCTCAAGCCCATGGTATTTACTAATTCCGCGAAAGTAAAAGGTTTCTGCTCTTAATAGACATTCTATTAAATTCAGAGAGAACAGAAATACAAGTTCGAAAAAGTTGTTTATCACATTAATAACACACAGAACTAGTATAAAACGGTGCACATCAGTTTAGAATAGTAATCATATCAGCTTTTAGAACAGAGGTAAATGGTAAAGATCGTATTAAAAAAGAATTCTATGACTACATTTACCTCAAAAAGAAACGGATGATAGCATTCACCTCAAAATTTACAAGCAACATATCATTTACCCCAATGTTACAGGACCCCCCAATCTAACATATAGGGTACTTTGCACATTTTATTGTAGCCGTACGTCATCCAGCTATTATATTTTATTTCTTTCAAGTAAACTAGAATGACGACGATAAAACAAACTAGAACAGGAACAATTATTTGACAGAGCCATACATAAGCAAAGAACGCTTCAGCAATCGAGAAAATTAGCTGCCATGAGCAACTCAAGCGCTACATCGGGAGTAATACTGAATTCGGGGATTTCCGTAGCGGAGCTCGTATAACGGACCTTGTATGCAAAATACTGGCATACTTTCTGCAGCACATGAGATCTTAAACGAAACTGCTTTAGTGAAAACAAATTTGTAAAGTAAATCACACTGTTCATATCGAAATTTCAAAGACACGTATTGAAAGTGGGGATTGAATTTTTAGGCATTTTCTTTTGACAATGATTCAGGACAAGCATCAGACCAGGAAGACTCCCTGACGTATAACCACATACCTTACAAGCAATGCGGGAACTCGATATAACAATCATTTAGAGTTTCAGCTATCAACCAAGATGTCAAACAAAAACGAAGATTTCTCGAATGAGGTTTGAAATAATCTTATAAATATGGAATTAGTGGATGTAATTCAGTAAACTCTGCCGCCCACCTCAACGCATTCTAACTCGTCGCAAACCACGTACCTTTGCGCTATTGTGATTTTCCTAATATTACCTTTCAAGGGTCATATGTTGTTTACAGATCATCAAAGACATAATTTTGAAAAGCAAAGACAAGACTGAGCTGCATGATTTCTAGAGCTTGGAAAACAAAATTTGATACTCCTCAGCCGCATCGCTTGAGGGACTTTGAGACTGCGTTCAGTGCTTAGCAAATCTCTGATGGAATTATGTCGGGCTCGTAAAACATATCCAAGCACTAGGGAGCAAAACACAGGCTTCATGCTAACTCTCTTAATGAATGTGACTACGGCTAGGGTTCACTAAGTTCCGTAAGTAGTTTGAAACACACCCAGGGTACCACTCCGTCAAAAACTAGAACACGCGAAAAGAACTACTCGGCAAAAAAGGTCAAAGTAGTTAGAGCTGTTTCATGGATCAGGATTTTTTTACGCAGAATCAACACTGACTTTGAATAGACCGTAAACGAAATTAATACATGTAACTCACGGTATTTCCCTGAAATTCACTTCATTGCTTTCGTTCTCTGAATACTGCCCAGGTCCGCTTAACATTGCCTTGATCGTGCCAGAGGTCAATGCCAATTCCTCGAAAGACAAGGTTAGAAGAGGTTAATGATAAATACTATGCAAATATCATGACTATTAAAATAATTATGCCAGTCAAATAATCGACTCACCTTGAATTCCAAATAGCCATACGAGTACCCCTTTTTGATTTCTAATCCCAATTTCTCTATTTTCGAAAGTTTTGAATCATTGCATGCTCTCCTCAGTTCACAATCGTAAAACGTTACATAATGGTAAATGTGAATAGCTTAACCAAAGTGTAATAGAATTGTATACCTTTTTGATGAAGAACTGGTGACCGTCACTGCTGACCAACTTCACGTATGTGGCATCTGGCCCTTCACATCCCCCGTAAGCTAAATCAAGGCAAATTTTCATACTTGTAACAAAAACAATAACTCTATTCAGATGAACATACTCTTATTCTCGGCGGTAGAGGTAGAAGCGCTCATCTGAAATGAAAGTCATGGTAACCAAATCAAAACAATTCTTGATAATATCATACTTGCCTTTGGTGGTGCTTGAGTGGTTTGTTCGATGTATGAGACTTGACCGTTCTGGTTAAAACCTAAAATGAAAGTTCAGTACCACAATTTACAGCTCAGAATCAAGCTGGACGCTTGCAGAGGAACTGCCGATCAACATCCATCAGCTGATCCACTTCGAATTCAGACAGAACGCAACGACACACTCGATTGTTCAAACCAAACATAAACGAGAAGTATTTAAATGTTAGGACATTTAAATCATTATCACTGACCATGCATGAGCATTTATTGAGCAAATTTACACACGAGTGCGAAAAAACCTCCCTGAACATCTGGCCTGACAAGTGAACTAAGGCAATCAGGGAATGTTAAAATACAAAAATGATGAATATGTATATGTATACGTGACTACAATCTGTGACTGGTCAATTATTACTCGTTTTCATGAACAATGTTCAATTGAAAGAGAATTAAAAAAAGTATTGCTGGCCTATGACGATTAAAACTGCACACAATTAAGTAGCTTTAGCGATTCTCATCTGCTCACATTAGCTGAACTAACCAATAAGGCACAATCAGATAAGGAAAGGCTGATCGCAGTGAATGTAAAGTATGCGCCTGAGATCTTTCCCTTAAACATATGGATTAATCGATATGACCACGAAGAAAATACAGAATCATTCGGATAAATCTTTCTCTATGGAAATGCACAATCACAACTAACATCACCTGCCGAATAACAAATTCAGCACTACTTCTACTTGGCACCACGCTAGAGCTCATATGAATCGATCAAACGAATGTTGAAAAAAAAACAATACTGTTCAACAAATCGGAGTGAAATGGCAGACCATTGACTGTATGAACAGTATTAGGACAAGAACCAGCACAGCAATCAGGATACATATGAGAATCTTCTTCTGAAATCAGTTATTTTTAATAATAATATAATAATAATAAATAATAATATAATATAATATAAATATAATATAAATAAATATAACGAATAATATAATTGATCAGAAACTTACGCTGCAATGAAGTTCGAAAGAGCAAACATTGGAGCTTCAAACTCGACAAACGGAAAGATCATGTATTCAACAGGGAAGACCTGTCAACCCTGTACCCGCCTCGCAAAACCCGCCACTTATTGATTTTTCAGAAAACAAAACAGATCATGGATCAACTGTTATAATACTGTCACAATTCCGATGAACCTTGCACAAAAGGTAGAGGGATTTCCCAACAAACAGTTCTAATCGCACTCAATGTAACCAGTATTCACACGAAAGATGCAAAAGCCTAAATTTAGAACGGATCGAGTGACGGAGGTTATAGCAGCAGCACTTGCTTAACTAGGGGGACGTTTATGTTCGAATCGCTTACCTTCCGAGCTTTCTTTTGCAGTTCGCGAGCACCCTTCACGTTATGTTTCGCTTTCTCGGCATAGTCAACGGCATCCTCAACATTGGCCTCAATCCTGTCGAGCATCTCACCCTTAGATAAAAACAAAACTGAATTCATGAACTAGCAGCTTTGAGAACGAAGTTCACTTACCTGACTGAGGACAAGGTTACTCAGATCGACGAACATTTCTCCTAACTCGCGTATGACCTTCTCAATCTCGAACAATTCATCCCTTCTGGTTTTCACATCTTCGAAAAGTGCCTTCTTGTCACTATAGGCAAGAAGAATCTGAAGTGAAGGTATATCTAACTAATTCTTTTGAAAGAGTCAGGGAAATCTCACAAACCCCTTTTGTTTTCTCGAATATGTCGCCATTATCGATAGCATCACTAATCTCATCGTCCGTTAATGTGATGTCCTCTGAAGGTTACTTTTGTTAACAACAACGGATAATGTGAAAGTAAACAGGATGGAAGATTATAAGCGCATCAGATGTTTAGCTGGCCACTCATATCTATTAGAAAAACTTTGGGATTCAAGGAGAAGTACTGCATGAAAGATTGCGTTTTTTGGAACCGCCGCTAGCCCAGTTTCACTCGCACTTATACCTAACCCAAAGGAACAGACTGACACAATCAACTTTAACCTATCTCCGCCCTCCGGAACCTTCATCAACATATCAACCGTTGTTCAACTGATAACTGATCCCATGATCGCCTGCTGAGTCTGTGATTGGTAATAGCAGGCAATTGATCAATTGCAGCCACTCTACATACGCACACAGCGTCCCTCCGTCACAACCAGTACAGAGGTTAGTTACCGGATAATTTGAATGCCCACAACAACTCGCCAGCTGTATCGAATAAATAAATGACTAAAGTCGGGAACACGTACGTATTTTCAAGTAGTCGGTGATTTTCTTTTTACAGCGCTCCTTGTAATGTTCCTCCTCTTCGCTGAACTTCCATATGACATCATGGAGAGCTCGAGTGAGGCTTCGAATCTAAAAGAACGAAGATTACCTTCATTTTCTCTATAGAAAGGCAAGCTTGCAATTAGACAGTCACTGACAGGAACAAGTAAGTAGTAGAGGTGCTATATAAATTACGCTCCACGAGCGTCAGCGCAACATTGACCAAAACCCTATCCAGTAGAGATCCTAAGTTGTCTCAAACAGTATACCAGAACCGGACAAAGAGGACACTTGGTGGCCGACTGATGAGAAACCACAAGTAACCGGAGAAGCTACTCGAACTTTTTAACCAGTTGACCATCAGTTGCCGTCTTCGGTCGGTTTCTTGAGCCCAGATCAGCTAGCCAAACCTGTGCGTGAGCCAGAGAAGAAAAGATTCGATAAATCATGAATACCTGATTGCGCTTAATGCGAAAATCCGTTGTATGGGACTCCTCGGGATGCAGTTTAGTGATAGAGTTCACCTCGTGATCGAGTCCTGCAACAGCAGATCGAATATAAATAGTCCCGTCTATTCATTTTACTATCAAATGACCTGAGCTGAGTATTACCGAAAACTAAACCAACTCTTTATTTTTTCACGTGCGACAAACGAGGTCGCTCGAAATTCTTCGACGATTGCGCGCAGCTGCTTTGACTTCTCTAAAATACGGATCACTTTGAAAAACCAGAAAATGAAAGAAATTTGAAGAAAAACAAACCTCCATCTGTTGCAGGTGCGAGCAGCAATTCACCATGAAAAGTACGAACTTCGTCAAGCCATGATTCCAGCTGGTTCACGATCGTTCGAATCTCAGTCATACGATTCAGAAACTGGAGAAAATGTATAACAATATGTCCTAATGGAATAAAGAGAATAAAATAGTTTGATTAGTTAGCAAAAGGGGCATGAATTCTGTTAGAAAAAAGGAAGATGAGCACACAAACGAGGTGGAGCTCATCCTGACATCGTTATGAGCAGCACCAACGCAAAAGTAATGTCGCCCCGCGTCTGCACGCTCATCAGGATTGCATTTTGGGAAATAAACTAGTAAACGAGACAAAGTACTGTTTCACGTACACTTTCCAAAGATGTCTGCTGCTCATCTGGCAAAAGCTTAGCATTTTCACGCGAAGTACGACGATCACTGCTTCTGCTGGAGTTCGTCTTTCCTGACAGAGTCTGAAACCCAAACATAGACCAAACATAGAGTCCATTCTTGGAAAAAATAGCAAATGGATGGAAATTATGGGAGGTACCTGAAGCTCTATGAGACGATCCTTCACCATTTTCCC